CCTCGATCATCGGGTTATATACGTGTACGTCTATGTGTATGTATGTGTGTGTATATATTCACTGGTCATCATCGCGGAAAACTCTTTCGAAACGAACTAAGTGATATACACAAGTGGCCGTCTATAGACTAGAGATCAATTTAATTATATAAGCCGAGTGAAAAGTCCGATTCGTCGCTGAAAATTTATTCGCAGGGATATTTACAGGTAATGTTACTTTGCGTATAAGACGTGTAAGAAAACACGAAAACACGCGTCGTTAATACGCGTAAGACGTACATAGGAAATATCCGCTCGAATTCCGAATAAGGCAAGACGGCTCGAGTCTATCGCGGCTACTAATCCCTGCTGTATTCGGGATATTCGCCTCGATCATCGCGTATTTCCTACGTGATCGACTATGTAATGTATATCTAGCAGATTAAACACGAAGACTTCCTTGAAAGCTCCGGCGGCGGAAACGAACGGAGAAAAGATCGATATTATCGTTCGAGATATCGAAAACGCGTTACTTGCGGCCGTCGTACGTGATTGCCTACTTATACACACTATGATACTAAAAAATATCCCTCTTCTACTCGTCGACAAAATAAAGTTTTTTTTTTCTTTCCGCCTTAATCCATTACTAAGACACTTGGTAAAAAACTTGGCGCTACGCTTGCGTTTGGTATAAAAAACACTTAAACACTGGAATGGCATTCGTCCAATGACGTACGTCGCTATCTACATGCAATGCGGTCTGCTTCAAATTGAGACGGGGAGGAGAGGATGGATATAATTTGTTTGATTTTCTCATTCAAAGGATTTTTTTTTTATTAAATCCTTAAAGTTTAAGCAATTCTTTCGCCTTTACTTTTCTCATTCTCTTTTACTATTTCTCTCTTTTTCGGCAAGGTTCTATTAACACGTAATATAAATTATTTTTAACAAATGTAATCGATAAACTATACAGTCGTTTAAATAAAAATGATTAAATGTTGATCGGGAACAATAAAAACGAATAAACGTGCAATTACTACGGACTTTCATTCACACTTTCCAATTACATATTCTTGAATATCAGCATCGTCAATCGATCATATTAATTCTTTGATTTATCACGTAAAAATTTGTAGTATTAAAAAAAATTATCATGATTTCTTTTTATTTTCAACTTAACAACAGTAAATAATTTCTGATTTGATAACTATTTGATTTCTGACTTGAAGACTATTTTAAAAAGGATTTGATAATCTAACGATCATTATTTCAAGAGCAATCGACGAGCATACGAGATGCAATTAAACGACTGGGATTAATTGGAAAACCAATTAATACAAGACTCGCCGCAGTTAATTAATCACTGAAAATTCATCCACAGGATGAATTTTCCGATTGTGTTATTCAAACCTCTCCTTCTCGATTTTTTTTTCGCTTCAATGTCTATCATAAACATTGTTTTTTTTCAGCACCATCTAAGCACCACCCCGATACGTGACTACTAACAATAAGAACTACTAACTGATTGACCCCGTACCATTAAGGCCCGTTAAGTTATTCTCTGGTCGGACGTCTTCGATCTGCGATGATAGTCGTTGGAGATATTATGTTAAGACGAAGAATAAAAATAGAAAAATATTTGCGATACTGCGACAACAACTCGAGTATATAATAAATATTTAAACGACACGTGAAAGCATTATAATAATTTTATAATTTTTTAAAAAATTTTTCAAATTTAAATGTCTAAATTTCGAAATTTATAATTTAAATTAATTATAATTTAAATTAAAAATTAAAATTTGAATTTAAAGAGTGGAGTTGCTGGAATAAAAATGATTAAACCCATTGAAAAAGTCGATTTTAATCGCGTTGCTCTAATTACACGTATGTATTTCGACAAATGTTCCTATCGATTCTGCGCCCCTTAAATCGGTTTCTCCTCATCACTCATTATTCTAGATCTACAAATCTAAAAATATAGAAATATGAATTCTTCAAATATTTTCTCATTAAACTGTCCTGTCTATAAAATATATTCTTATCCTTCTTGTGATCAAGACGTCCGACCTCATTACCAAATCAAATCAAGATTAAAGCCAGATGAGAAATGCAATTACTTACTTGCGCACCTAGTTATCTTCATTGACAACAGTACTTATTCGATCAGTCTAACTTATTGTTAGCCTAACACGTGAAGGCTACCCTAGCGTATCTCGACCTTCATTGAGGTTTAGCCATCGGATGTTTAACCTCAAACGCTGTCCGACGCCACAGACATCGGTCTCTTATACGAGAGAGCACGAGGTACTGGTATCCTCGAGCATCCCTCCTGAGGTTTCGGGTCCTTTCTAGGAGTAACCGATACTTGAACGTCATGGGGCACCATCGTTCCGTTGGTATCTACCCACATTTTGGCAAAGTCCATATCTGCAGCAGCGTCGGTCGAACTAGTCTGGTAATCTTTCAGGAGACCCTGCAATTTTTGCACCATCTCGCGCTCGTCCTTCAAATCGCCCAGTTTCTGCAGAATCTGATCGAGCAACGGATTCGTCGCTTTAGTAGGCGACGATTGGAGAGAAGCTGTGCCCGTGGTAGAGGTCCTAATTCTCCTACCGTTTCTGTCGTACTGTACACCGAGATTCGGGCTAGGCCGAGACTGCAGACTTTGTCTACCAGGGCTTTTCCGCGAGAAACTGGGCGTCGTAACACACGTGGCTGGCCCGGATCTCGGATCCAAGAAGGTATCCGTTTGGATGCTGGCCCGCCGTCTAGTCTGTCGGCCGTTCCATGTCGCGCTACCGCTGACTGGCGTTTTGGAAAGCTGAGACGTAGTTATGGGCGACATCACCTTACTGAGACTTCCGGTAGGCGTTGATTTTCTCAGCGTCCCGTAACTTCCATTGGCCTTGTTGCGAATTGTACCCCCTCGATTCAGTGGGCTACCTTCCGGGCTGGAATTACTATCCTTAGGCGTTTTGCTACCGGACGATGCCTTAGACAAGTTGCTGTTCTCTCGCGCAATGGAACTGGCGCGAGGAGTCCTGTCACCCGTGGATGAAGATGCCACGCTTCTGGACGGAGACGAGACTCGTAAAGGGCTGGCCAGCCTTTCTTTTCGAACCACTTTGCGCAATCCGGTCTCGATGCTGTCAGTCTCCACGCCGGATCTTTCTTCGGGTTCCGCTTTTTGGAGATTGCTCTGAAACACAGGAAATAGGAAGGCGTGTATGTTTACTCTGGGACTCCGAATATTGTGATTTGTTAGCAACGATTGTTCTGACGTTAATTATCTAAAATAATCTTAAAATAATTAAATAGATACAAATCAAATGCTTCATAATTTTTTTGTTGTTTATAACACCAGTTTATAACACCAGTTTATGCTAATACTAATTAAAGAGAGTTTAGATTTTTATATATAATTTTTACGTAAATTATTATATAAAATTTTATATAAATGTCACCGCTATATCTCGCTGATTTTACAATTTATTATATGTATTATATAATAATTATTAATCAAACATGTTTACTATATATTTATCATTATCAATTTGATACTGTTCCAATATTTTTATATAACTCTTTTTATAAAACTCTTGTTATCAAGTTTTACAAATACATACGTTTTTATCTACCATTGAAAAAGAGATAAATAAAATTAAATTGAAATTTTCCCACAAAATTTACACAATTTATAATTATAAGAATATATTCCTGATATAGAAGATTCAATTTATTAAAAAAATTTAAATCTTAACTTGTATCAAAATATAAATTCTCTAATTGACATAAGTTCAATCTTATTACAATAAAATTACAATTAAATTTCGTGTTTCTCTCATCAGGTGATGTCATCATGTCGCATTTCGGCCTACATTTCGCATATTTTCGCGTATTTTGTACACCCACGTACGCTAAATCAGAGAAAGTCCATTCTTCGCCGAAGAGGAGAAATTAGATTTTTTTAAATTCATGTATATTGATGCCACACGAGAATGGCAGAATGGCAGAATGGCGTCGACTCCGTCAGAACAAACGTATAAATGAGAAAACGGTAATTATAGAATCTTTTTCATGTTAACTTTGAGAGAAAGAATGCTTTATGAAAAATAATCAATCGCGCTGAATTTGTGAATTTAACTTACAGTTACAGTTTAACAGAATCGATCAAACGTTCTCGATAACGCGTTGCGTTTCTCAATCCGATCAACAAATCAACGAATAAAAAAAGTATCATATAAATAGTAACACGTCTGGTTAAAGATTGTTGAGCTACGACACGGTAAGTATATACGTATATTCATGCGAACGTAACTCGTAATTAAAATCTGAGAATCGAAAATCTATTTCGAGATTTCATCCTAGTAACACGCTGCTGGTCAAACCGGATTCAGATCTAACGAGTCCTTGGAACTTGTTATTAAAATTACGCAAATGAATTACGAATTGAATTTGTTGAAGAAATCTACGTTGACGTGCTTGCTAAATACAGTTATATTAGGTTTAATATCATGGTAGCCGTTTGATATCGTATAAGACATTTATAGCATACAAGAAAAATAAATATATAATTTGCGAGAGTTTATAACAAGTAAATTATAAATTTTCTTAATGTAGCCTCTGAATCTCTTTCATGTATATCATTGAATCTTTAGCTCCATTTCCATAAAAAAAAAAATCAATCCCAAGAATAAATTTATTTTTTATTTGAGAAAAATTTCAAATTAGCAAGATAGAAAACATCGATACTATGTCTAAAATATTAACCATAATATAAAAGTATGTGACTGACAAAATACAACGTAACGAGAGAAATTAGCCTCATATTTTTATTCTTTTTAGGAACTAAAAAAAAATATCTCTCGCAAAAAAATTACGTTGAGCATCAAATGACGAGAACACAAGTTGGATCAAACCTAATAAAATCGCAAAATTCATTTTGCTATCTTAAAAAATTGTATATCGTTACCAAATCTTACTCTTGTCATGAACAATGCTGAATACAAATGCAATCAACAAATGCAATTTAATTCGAAAGTTGTAGACGCGTTCCATCAGATGGATCATGATGCATCTTTATACTTCTGTTTTTTTTCTTCGCTGAGGATGATTCGAAACGTACGTTGATTATGTCCATTTTGTTAAAGAAATATATTAGAAATATAATTTTTTAACTCTATACGTTATTAACAGCGCATTGACTCTCATTGCCTTTTGTCCTTTTTTTATTTCTCCTGTTTTATTTAAATTTGTAGAGTCTTTAATTAATTAATTTATTCTACTGTTACGTTGCCATGGTTTTAATATACTTTCACGGTTGTCTCATCAGTCTGTCTTAATCGTTGCGCGATGTTTGTTTTTACTCTCGATATCAACACAAGCAGAAGCGTTTTCGCCCGAGTGAACGCGGATCTCCGTCGAAATCGAAGCGGAACGCTCGCGGTATCGCGAACGCTCAACACGCAACAGAGACTACATTGCGTACATATCTCATTGCCATTAAAAACAAGTCAAATGCTTCGATGCACGTTTTCGAAACGTAGGCGCGCTCTAGCGCCGTCGCATAAATTAAAGATATCGATGTAAATGAAACGAGTCATTGAAGGTCGCCTCTGGCTACTTTGCGTAAATCTCAATAAAATCCCAAGATAACCACGATCCACACATTTAGCTTAGCTAACCAATTCAACACAACTGCGAACATTTACACATCATGTAAACACATTTTTGTAAGCAATAAACATTTGAAGAAAAGTAAAAGCGTAATACAGTCTAATTTAAGAATATAATAAGAACAATAAGAATATTCTTAATATGATATATAAATGGAACAGGGTAGCGAAAGCTATAGCTAAGCTCACATTTATTTATATCTTTTAATTCTAAAGATCTCAATAAAACATTTGCTTAAAACGCCTCCAGGCCATCCTTTCATTTCTCATGAAATGTAACGCGAAAGTTCATCTCAATCGCGAATCGAAAGATAAAACGATGAAACACTATGATTTTAATCAAGTTTATATTTTAAGTTATTACATTCTGTAAAGAATTGTCCGTACACACAAAAAAATAACACAAACAATAAAGCATCTAAGAGAATCTTAAGAATAAATAAAAATAAAATAAATAAAAAAAATATATATATATAAATATTTTATTATAAAAACTTAGATTTTAATCACAATAATATAATAATCTTTGTAAATAGACATGATATTATTTTCTGCACTTATTTTAAAACATTCTATTTGTAGGCAGTATTGTTATGAATCTAGATTTATATTTAAGTATTAAGTAAGTTATCTATATCTTATCTGAACATTAATTTTTTTATCGATCATGTGAATATCTAAACATCACAATCTTTAGATATAACAACATTACTAAAAAAGATATAATCGAGTTCAAAAATAATAAAATCTGATATTTTATTTTTTTAATCAAATAAGAGAGAGATAAATCGTGCGGTAATAAATCATACACAAAACAGCTGTATAAATATACTTTATACAAAGCTTTAAAAAGCTTAAATTAATTGGCATTACAAATATAACGGTTCTAAGTATGAGTACTAAAAAAATGAACATACTAAACTTATTATATACCGCCAAGTGTTTCGAGTTAAAAGTTTAATAAATTTTCTCTTAAAAAAGTTGTTGATTTCACATTTTCAGTTTCCGTGAAAAGTTTCCAGGTCCCCGGGTTAAGTTGGAGTTGTTCCAGTCCGTTCAAGTTCCTCCCTAGGAGGAAAAGCATCGGGACGATCAAAGCGGATTGCGTCGCGTCGCGTCGCGTCCTGGTTGGCCGCTGCAAACTTTTTCCACTCGCGGCAATGCGTCAACCGCGTCGCCAAGTGAGTCGAGTGCCGCGAAAATACACGAACGCTCGCGTGTGTTCAAGGCGAGAGCGTGCAACGAGTGTTATCGAGGATCGACCGGCGGCGATTGTTCCGAGGACAGGTTGTTGGAGATCGCCCACGCTTCGAGCGATCCCTCGCATAATCGGCGGTCGTAGCACCAGCTTAAATGTCAGCTCAGACAGAGCGCGATTTTATATAACGCAACGCTATGCGCGCTCGTGTATATTTTGAATATTAATCGTCCGCAGGGTGGTCCAAATGTCGGATCAGACACCTGCGAGCGATTTGTAGAGAGCCCGAGATGATTCGCGGGACGCGCCGTGTCGGAACACGCGCGTGTTCGAACTCGAGCTACTCGTGATCGAATCTCGAATACGAGATCTTTGTCATGTTTGTGACTGATAGGTCTCGATGAATCGATAAAAAACCCGTCTGAACCCAACGTCAACGTGGTGTAATTAACGCGGAACGTTCAAATACTATATGCGCATAGATTCGCATAAATTCTCAATAATTTGTTTGCCCGCTACATTATATAAATCGCGTGGAATTTATGCAATAGAATCGAGTAGAATGGTGCAAATTATTAAACTTTCATCGCAAATCTTGACTCGAGCTTGGCTTTTACCAATTCGTTTGAGCATAAAGCAAGACTCTGTTTACAATTTCTATTAATTATCGGATTATTTAACAAATATGAATAATTGAATATGAATAATTTAACAAAAATGTTAACAAATTATTTTAGATGGCGAAAGAATACCTATACCGTATACCATCAATAAACCATGATATTAGATTTAAATCGAACTACCATTATCTCTGAAATCTCTAAAGATTTTCCTTAAATAGACGCATCATGATATTTATAAATGACCTCAGCGAAAGGTTATGAGAAAGATAAGTTAATTGAAGAAATAAACGATTCACATAAATGACTGTCTACTACGATCATGGCATTATCCTATTAGAAAAATCTGACAATAATTTAAAAATATTACGTGCAAAAGTGTCGATTTCCAAGATTTTATTTTCAATGTATATCACGATCGTATTTTTTTTTTTTTTTTCACGCAAAGCAACTTTCTCTATGCGTTTTCTTTTTCCTTTTTCGTGACAAAGAAAATTTATCACCTCTATCTATATCGTCGCGCGAAAAACGTCGTCTCTACAGACAAATTAATTCGTCGTTGTCGATATACTCGGGAGATCGACAGGCAAAGATAAACGTCGCACGCGCGGCCAAGTATTAAATTCTACTCGCGAACGCAAACGCGAGCATGAGCGCACAATCTCGTTCTCTCTATTTTCGCACACAAAGCACATGCTTCTCCTCGCTTCTCCGCCGCCTAATCGAATTTCACCTCTCGATTCGCATCGGTTCAATTTTTTTTCGTCCCGCGCCTCCCCCCCCCGACACGCGACATCGCCTCCAATCGTTTGTATAATGCTCTCTCTTTCTCACCCCCTCTCTCTCTCTCTCTTTCTCTCTCTCTCTCTCCTCCCTCTTTTTCTTCACTCTGCGTGCACCCTCTTATTAATTTCAATGACTCGCTCGCTGATGATGGCGAATGCACGTCCAAACGCGCGGGCACTCGAGCTTGATCACCGTATTCACTCACGAACAGAGAAAACGAACGTCGCAAGAGCTTATCAATTTCTTCGAACTGGAATTTTATCACTTGAACGAGATAATATCGTTTCTCGGAGCTGAATAAAAGGACGAATGTTTTACTTGCGCTATTGCGAAATACAGAGCAGCGATTTCTGATTAAATCCCGTGCGGAATGCGATATCAGGAATATACAGGAGTATATATTCACAGGGTGTCTCAATCGATAGTACATCACTCGTGTACAGGTAGAGTGTGTTAAACTGAGTAGAAAAGTTCCCTACTGTTTTATAATTTTTAGCAAAATTGGCTAGGGATTATTAATTAACGAAAATTGTTGAATAAGCGCCTATCGGCAAATGCAAGCGCACGCATTCGCAATTGCTAGGAACACGAGAAGTGAGAACAGGTTTGCAAGTGTGCACTATATAATCAGAGTGCTCTATCATTTGTAAACCATTCATCCAAACGTCTCACACGCTTTAGCAACTGCGAACAGGAGGCTGAATGGATCTCATCGCACGTCTGAATTTAGCCGAGCGCTTGGATACGCGCTTGATCTCTTTAACTCTGATTAACAATTCCATTACTAATTGCGAAAATCGCAAAATATAGTAGAGGACACTTTTCTGCTCAGTTTAATAACGCTCTACATGGACATTGTATCATTAATTATGAGACACCTCGTACATAACATCCACTTACTTTGATAATCGGCAACCGTGGGCGAGCCCTGCGTGCTGGCAGAATTCCCGTTGGCGATGAACGATTGGACAGCACCAAGACTGCGGTAACCCTCGTCGGATACCTCGCTGCAATTGTCCGAATGCTCTCCGTCGCCGTGCGGTGACTTCGGAGCGTTCGCCGTGTTGTCCTTGCCAAAAGTGTCAAGGGCCGAGTGCTCCTCCTTGCTCGGAGTCGGGCTGCGGCTGCCGCTCGAGTCCTCGCTACATTTGTAATTGTAGATGGACGGTTCGTACTTTGGTGTGTCGTCCCTCTCAACGGCACGACGAGCCACGCCGCCCTCGACGACGTATCGTTTCGTGAATTCGCCTGGCACTTTAAGACCGCTCTCCTTCGCAACGCAAAACAAATTGCCATTTCTATCGTATTCCTCTTCTTTTTTTTTTATTTAAAGCACGTATTTTTATTTAAAAAACAATGAGCAATACGAGAAAGTTATCATGTCTCTAAGATATTATCAAGTGTCTAATCTAATCAAAAGTGATCTCACTTTTGAAACATTCAAAATATATTAAAATTATAATGTTATTTTAAATGTTGCATTCTCGTATAATAAGAGAAAAATACAATTGTTTCAAACAAAAAGCAAACTTACTCGGCCGTTTTCCTGTGGTTTTCCTTGATACGTTGGCGACCGCGCCTCCTCGTTGGCATTTTTTCTGAACGAATCTATGTTCTTTCGCGGTGTCGGGCTTCTCGATCTCAAGTTTGCCCTAGGCGTTGGCGACCTTGATCTTTGCTTCGCCAAGTCGACTTGATGATTCGGACTCGCCAGCAATTTCCTATGTGGCGTAGGACTTCTCGAACGTTTCTTCTGCTCGTCGCATGATTGTTGCTGATGCTGTGGCTTGCTGTTGGCTGTCAACCGATGAGGTGTGGGCGATCGCGAGCGATTACCAGAAATGCTTCTGGGTGTATGCAATTGCGCCGATTGCAGATTTTGCACCGAACCGACACTCGACGCAGAACTCCGTCGGGTTCTCGGAGGTGATGATCTGATGAAGAAAACAATGGTTAAACGTTACAATGGAATTGATGTCGGTCGTTACGGGGTCGTTACTATCTAGGTAGACACTAGGAAATTTTCAATTTCCGCGTTCGTAATAGGATGTCACGACGAATACAGTATCGTTCATAAACTTATAAAGATCAGGAAGATTTAAAAGAAAAATTGCCAACATTAATAAATTTATTTCGCATGTTATATTTTGTAAAAATTTTAAGCAGATAACATAAATATGATTTATACAATTTGCTTTCACAAAAGTTTATTTCTCTATTCATATAAATCTAATACATTTATAAACGACACTATATACTACATAACGTATACACAAGATATGTTTACGCATCCACATTTAATTATCTTGTATAGAAAATGTTTAGATTAGTATTAAACATTGGGTAAAAATACTATATCCGCAATGTCAAAAATTTTATTTCTGATAATCGAGTTGCAAAAATATTTCGTGCAAAGTAGATACATTGCTTTAAAAATAAATTTTTAATGCCGAATAACGTTAATGAAATAATAATAATAAAAGCTATTAAAAAAAAATACTCACCGTTCGTAATGCACTTGTGCGTTGCCTAGATCGAAAGATCCACCGGCCTTTTGAATGAGTTTCGCCGAAACCATTGAGCGGTGTGCTGAAAAAAATAGAAAAAAAATCCATTAGACTCGTTAGAATGTAGCTCAACAGAAAGACTTAATAAAACATGATTAATTCGTAATACTCACAGTTTCTACATCGGCATGGATCGTGTTTCTCCAAATAATGGCTGAGGGTATCCCATCCGCCGCCGACACGCACCATCACGTGACTACGCAAAACTCGGACATAGATCGTGACCTTGGTGTCGCCGATCCGATACTTGCCTTCAGCCACATGGATCATTGGAAATTGTGTCGGGCATGTGCACTCCTCTACGATATCGCGAACCTGAAAGCGAAATTAATTGCAATATTATAATATGATATACAATATACGGTATATATCATAATCTGAAGTAATATTTTTCAAAATAGGAGCCGCGATTCCTAAGAAAGTCACAAAGTTTCCCAAAATTTCTAAAATTTTTAATATTTGATTTATTAAATACTAATACTAATTATATAGTAAAATATATTGATAAGACTAAGAGATAATTATTTATTTGATAAATTTTATTAGAAGCAAGAAATCCAATACATCCATCCAACTCGAAGAAACAATACGGATAGGATATCTTTTATTCGATCGCAAACAAAACAGTGTAAAAATATATCTGATTTTCTTGAAAAATCGGGCTCTACCGAAATAACTTTCAACTTGATTTGTTTGTTGCATTTGCAGACAGAAACATCCTAAATCGAAAGGAGAGAGAATATAGAACGTCTTCGATAATTAGTAGGAATAAAACGAAATTCTCGGAAGTCGTGCCAAGATGGGCTCGAATGGACGTCCACCGTTTCGTTAACAAGGTCGCAGAGAGCAGGTAAAACCGCTCGATTTCGTCTTTCGAGTTGCTTTCAGCGGCGATCGCTGAATTATGCCGAACAAAAACGCAGAGTCGCTCGTGTAAAATCAATTACTAACCCGGGAAACCTTGCTTTTCCTGCGAGAAAGTCGTTCCTATTCACGGTGTAATGAACGAAAGGTCGCACGTCGCGATTTTGTCGATTCGCACGTTACAAATATGATAATCACTATGATATTCATGTAACACGAATTTATCAAGTTGTAATTTCTTTCTTAGTTTTTTCTTTCAATCATATAGTTATATTTCTATGAAAATTAGCAGAATAAAATGCATCTTAAATAGCTCTGCCAATTTGTAGTTTTATACTAAAGAATCCATTAAATCTATTAGTTTCATCTCTCGCAAGCGATTAATATCTTTATTTGTACGCTTGACACTTGACATTCGAAAGTCCCGTAAAGTCATAAATTCCAAAAAGGGCGAGTTATTCACTTGACAACCAACACAGCGAAAAGGACTGTTTTCACAACCATTTCGCAACCGCTCGAATTAGAAAGCAGAGATAATTGCGCACGAGTGTTACGCGCATTAAAGTCTCCAATTTTTCAATTGAAGGAGCGTCCCTTATGAAACAAGTTCATTTTACTTCGTCAAGGAAGAGATAAAAATGTGAGAAAGAAAAACAATTCTTTTTTTCTTCTCGGGCAAAAATTTTTGAAACGTTGAGAAAGGAAGAGATACGACAAGCATATCGAATCAATATACGAGTTTTGCGTCTTTTCATCTCGCCGAAGAATAAAATACAATTGCTCCTTTGAAGAAAATTGCACAACAACAATTCATGTTCATGATGTCGGTATTTACGATCATTACAATCATTATGCAATAATCGCATAATATCCATCGAATAATTGCAAGCATATACACATATTTATAGTTACGGTTTAATTGAAAAATAAAGAATTTTATGATCTTAATTAAATACCGATTGACCGATTGATAAATCAGGAAAAAAAGAAGTTTGATATCTTCAATTTTTGATGTTCGCAAATAGAATTCTTTATATATATATATATATGTCAACAATGCCATATTTCTATAGCGATATTAGCTATAACGTAAAAAGAAGTTAGAAGACCGTCTGATTTCGTAGAGTACGCGAGTTCTTCTACTACTACTGACTGATTCAATTCCTCAACGTCGAGTTCAAGTGACGTCGCCGTTGGCATCGCTGACGATTTATTGACCCGTCGCGTAGGTACACGCCCGCGATCGATCGACCGATCGCATAACCGGTGACTGCCTTTCTCTCCTCCCGCGTATACGTTATCGATCGTATCAGCCGATAGATAAGCCAAACAGATCGATTGATCCGCCAGCGTGGTGTCGCAGAACGACGCCCTAGTATGTGTGTGCAGCGGCTCTCGCTTCATATTGATCGCAGTCCGTCTGGTGATATCGCGGTCGCAAATCTCGCGCCGATATAACACGCGTGTCCTTGGGAGTTCACGCGAGATGGCCACCCAACGTATCCCGCGATGTCATTGATGCGGTCATTTATCAATGAGCGCACGCTGATATTCTCCGC